ATATGGAAAACGTTTTTTTAACAATACGTATAATATTATAATATATAAAAAGAAACGTTTACGGGTTTGCAGCAGGCACCTCTCCGTGCTTATATGTGTACAATAATGACAGTAAAAAAACGGTCCGGATAAATCAATCTTATTAGTCGCGCACGCGCAGTATATATCACCAACTACCGACACATTACTCTATACCTATATATTATGCATATAATAATAATATAATAACCCTTCCTTAATAATATAATACTACAATATATATATATATATAACTTATAGCTATAAATACACACCAAACTGTGTGTGTGTGTGTGTGTGTGTGTGTGTGTGTGTGTGTGTGTGTAAAGAGTTTTAATTTCTCTCGCGCATATCACAATAAAATATATATGCCTCGCGTGTGTGTAACCTTTGTACAAATAATATAAACACTTCGGATGAGTAGGCATGTTCTCGGTATATTTTTATTTTGTTTTTTTTTTTTTTTTTATCTATTTTGTTTTCTTTATTGTACGATCGGACGTTCGAGGAATCATTTGTCATCTCTTCTCCTCTACAGGGACACCGACCGCGATGTGTTTTCTACGTACCATATATACAAGTGTGAACCACTCGACCTTGCGGCCATCGACCAATATTACGATCAATTTTTTTTTATTTTTTTTTCACCATCATTATTATTATTAATGTAATAATTCGTATTGATCGAAACACGCGGAGGTTTGACCCCGAAACGTTACTTGTTTGAGGTCATCAACACCGAAGAATTATCGAAACCGATTTTTTATCCGCGACCGAGACTATATATTATATATACCTATATGTAAATATGTAATATTATTCTCAGAAATACGAAACTTACTGACCAGCAACTTTTTTCGCCAATAAAAGTCCCATGTACCTACGTAACGTTATGTCCGACTAGCACCTCTTTAGTAAACCAATCGAAACACTAATCTCACATCCAATATGCAATATTATTGTTACTCATGTGTACCTAAATTTTGTTATGTTTACAAATTACAATTACTCTCGCACTTTAAACACATTAATGTACCGTCTTAATGTCATCGCGCCCATTTACAGCAATGACTGGGGCATAAAAAGGATTGAATAATTATTAATAAAACACACTATATAGTAAAAAAACTCACGACTGTTCCTTATTTTATTCTATTCGTGCTTCATAGATCAATTATCTATGTATCGTGTGTGTAAAAACTAAAAGCCATATTATGCTAATGTTATTATTATTTTGAAACTCATTCCAGATTTTAGATTTTAAATACATTATCAAAATATCTAAGCAAATGATCTTTTTAAGTATAAAACATTGGTTAAAATAACGGAAACGAATTATATATTATACACACGCCTTTATCTCGGCTAACCGATCAATAGATACAATTATACTTAAGTACAAGCACAATTAAACGAATTACGGGATTTCCACATCGTACGCCAATGAACGCTCGAAATAGAATTATTGACCAACAAAATTCGCAATATATAATTATATTTTTTTAAATTTTCTAAACCTATACTAAAATTATTTATGTATTTTATCACACACATAAACGGACTCTCTATGTTCTTCGATCCATATAACATTTTTCAACTTGTCTTTACTAAAAATGATAATATTTAATGTAAATCAGTATTTTTGCAGTATACGTTTAAATGCATATTTCGAAAATGCAAACATAGTCTCCACGATTAGTAAACTCATAATGGGTTATAATATGGATATAATATCCAAATTCCACACATGATAAGTATATGAACAGTTTTTTTGCATTCCATTTATACGTTCAGAAAAAAGTATTCAAAATATGTTTGGAGAAGATAAGCTTATTGTTTTATAATTTAAAAGAACACTAAATATTTATAAGCTACAGCACTGCAACTATTTTCGTGTATACCTTAGACTAATAAGTAATAACTAATAAATACAAATAGATATTGATAATACGAATACGAAATTCTATTCTAAGTCTATGCACTAAATTTCTTTTTCAAAAGTATCCCAGACTTTCGGTTCTGAACAGCCCTTGTAGATACGTCGTAACACTTAAATACTTATATTTGAAATGTGGGATTTTTGACGGGTATGAATATTATTATAATTCATAAGTTATAAGTAGGTACCTACTCAATTGCATGCGTAAAATACGTTTGACGACGCACTGACGTTTTACTATATTATGTATAGTAGATTATCTTATTTCTCGATTTTTTTTTTTTTGTTTAAATACTAACAACCGTGTAATAATAATAAAGTAAAATACAAACCTACTGCAGAAGACCACCACTGGCGTAGGTAGAAATTAATTCCGTTGTCGTACGCCATATCGACTGGCAGATTTATTGGACGGTACGTGCCGTTTAATTGGGCCCCGTGTCGTTTTTTATACACATATACTCGCATATAACGAGCGAGTTTTCAAGTTCTTCTGGGTATTTTTTTTTTTTTTTTAATGTTTTCGTTTGTTTGTTTGTTTGTTTTTTCTTTAAATATAAGTCTTAAAATCCGAGCGCGTGGGTAGACGCCGATACAGTGACAATATTGGCAGTCAGCTTGGGTTTCATGTAGGTAGCGGAAGACGTAGTTGTAAATAGTAAATTTGTTAATAACTTATACGACATATCATATCATATTATAGGCAATAATAATATAAATATTGTGTGCAATAGTGATCTGATGGTATTATAGGCTAAAGACGATCATCGTACGCCGTTTTAATGGATCGGACGAAAATGTTCAAGCGATATTCTTTGACGATATTTTATGTGACATGATATCATATTACGAACGCGCAATAAAAATAAAATATAATACGCTCAAATTTATTAATATGATATGATACACACTCGTGACGTATAAACGTAATTTTAACTTTTAATACTGTCGCGACTACAGTGTTTTCAGCCCATAAAAGTATCCACTAATATTTTCTCGCATTGAGTTTGTATAAATTAGACGAATTTACACGGATGGTGTAATAACGCACTCGCACGTTTATAATAATATAATATTATGCGAAACGAATTATAATAACCATTGAAGACCTTTAAATAATAATATTTTATTATTCGAGTTTCGAACTGAGATTTCGTTCTAAAAGGTGTAATGTTCCGTTTATTATTATTATTATTTTTCTCTTTAATGACAAATATTCATCACTCCGTTCCCCATACCCCTCGAGAAAGAAAATATAAAACACAATAATAATAAAACGCCATTGAAGATCTAGAGACAAATAGGCGACACCATAATATAATATAAAGCCCTTGCGATATTAGTTTCGGTTAAATATAATGTACAAGCCTATACCTACATATTATTATAATAACATGGTACGCGTGGGGGTGGCGGCGGAATGTCAAAAATGAAAAAAAAATCGTCTTGGCCTACAGAAGTCACAGTGTCACATTAACAGGTGCGAAGCATTGTGCCACGGTGTCTTCAACGGGTATCTTCGAAACACGTCTAATTTTATGATTTATACGACCGGCCGCTTCTGTCTTCTCGCTGGGCCCTCTATAAATCACCGGGCGGCGGAGAAAATAAAATAAAAAAACAATTTTTTTTTTTAAAACCAGTATGCACAGTGTAGTATATATACAGGTATATTTACCCGAGTCACGTTGAAAATTCGGCCACTTCTACGGGGGTCATAAATTTTTAAATAAACAATAATGTCAACGGCGTATATATTATATTATACACGTCGAGACGTATGTTGGACACCTTCTTCACACTTTGGCCAATAATAATTGTCTGTAAAGAGGCGTTAATGATAAACACGCGGCTCCCATAATATAATATTCTCGCGCCGTGACCTCTCCAAATCGGTTTACAATAGGTAGTACATCAAAACACACCAATAAACACCACATTTATATATTTAATATAATAATACATTTTTTCTACCTTTTTTTTTTTTCATTTTCCGTCATGTCTCCGAGTGACAATAAGGCGTAGTGTGACCGATCGTTTGGCCACACCGGTGTTGATTTCAATAAATAAATAATTGCAGAAGTGTTTTTTATTATTATTATTATTATTATTATTATTATTGTTTGAATTGTTCACCGGTTTCGGACCTCTAATTGTGCTCATTAATGAATTATGGTTGGGTTTACATTGCATTAGGGAAATTATGCATTCGGTTCCCTGCGGAGGAGGAGAAGGAGTTACACTCTTTGTTAAATATATGAACAGTAAATGAGCAAAGTATAATAATAACATATAATTTCGCTCATATGCGGTTAAATATGTGTGTTCAGTGTTTACCGTGCGTAAGTACAGTTTTCAAATGAAGTTTAAAATGTTAATTTATACTTGTATATATTATATAACTCTGATGATTGTGAAAAAAAATATGCGATTCATGTGCTAATATATGGGTAGGTACAATGTATTATATAGGAACTGCAGTAAGTGATATTTTTGTGGGTCTTATTTTTTTAATATATTATATTATTCTTAAACAAAATAACACTTCAATATAGTAATATTTTAATTAAAAATTATATTTACTATATTATTATAGTACTATGCTTAACCTAACGTTCTAACCTATTCTAACCTACTTGGCTATATTGGATATATTGATATATAGGTATCTTTATACCAATACTATATAAGTTATAAGGTATACTTAATATTAAATGCCTCTCTTTTGTAACCCCCAATATCCTCCTCTAAACGTTTGGGGAGTTATAATCTGAACGTTAAAATCACTTGGACTGTTATTTTAACTTAATCCAAATGTAGAGCGTTAACATTTAGGTAAAACAGTATAATATAGTTGTAGGCATGCTAATAGTTCTAAAAAAAAAACCTATGGGTACGATATTTATTAAATGATGTGATTTGTTTACTACATTTATACTCGCAATAGTGACCAGACACAGTATAATTTTATTTATAAGTATATTATATTTCTCCGTTGGTCGTTTCGCGCTTGTTAAATTGTGTAAAATTAAAAATAATTTACCTGGCATAGTCCTGACGGCAATAAATTGAATCATCTTTGATAAAACAAGACGGTTCGTCCTCTAATACCAAATTGCACACGCAGCATCTTAAACATGACACGTGCCAAATTTTGTCAGAAACCTTCAATAAAAACCTATCCGTAATTGGATCCGAGCATCCTCGACATTGCAACGATTCAGTCTAAAACAAATAAACACAACTTATTATATGATTGATTCGTATAAAATAAATAAATTCCAATATTGTGATAAAATATTAAAACACTAAACGACCCGTTATATTATATTGATGTTACTCTACATTATACTGAAACTATATTATTATTGTTTAAACCGTAATTACACTTTAATATAGCTACTATATATTTTATTAACTTAATTTTTTTCCACATTATTTTAATCATTACAAAGTAATATATTTTCAAAATATGTGCTGTTTCTATCAGTAATAAATGCCCTTATTGTTTACAAACTTATCGACGATTTACAAAATATGAGTAATTAAAAAAAAATATTTCTTTATAAAATGTTTTTATCTAGGTAATTAAACATACGATGTCTATGACATTGTTGATTTTCGGTATCACTTACAACTACGTCTATCACTGTTTAATCTTTTCGTATTAATTAATAATTATCATATTATATATTTATATAAGTCAACATAGTTCATTCACATTTTTATCGAAATACATTTCTTACAAATGGAGATTTATTCGTATCCATAATCTGTGAAAAAAAATCTAAACCTTCCAAATCGATCGTGTTACGCTTGAGCAATAATTATTATAATATGCGTACTTACTATACTGGTAATTATAATATAATTACATAACTCGAAATCAAGTGGATACTATAATTTAATTACCGTGTATCGCTTCGTGCAGTCGATTAAAAAAACCAATACACGTGTACACGATTGCAGTTTAACTGCCTACATTATAATATTATATTATGATAATCGAGAAGAACGGTAGACCGTAATATTATTATAATATAATAAGAAATATGCGCTTGCGATGTTAGGTGTTAGCTCCGAATACTCGGGTTACCGATATCGTGTGTATATAATGTATGTATATCATATATTTATGGGTACACTGAACAACTAACAATTATATATATATGCTCCCCCCCCCCCTGGTGTTTTTGAGCACAAATTGTGATGTCACGCGGCATAGTTATTGGTATTGGACGTTTCGTATAATAATAATATGATATATATATTACATGTATATATGTAAAGGTACTATATACGATGATATGCGGTATGTATTTATAAATATATAATATCTACATAAGTATAATGTATAATAATATGTCACATTCACGTATATAATATAGATATAGAATTATCGGCACATAAAACACGTGCGGCACTAGACTCGTACAGTATAATACAATAATTATAATAATAATAATAATATTATGGATAGCTTTTCGAAATACATTTATTTATAAACACACGATACGCGTAATTTTATCATATTATTATGCATATTTTGTATACCATATTAATATATAAATCGGCGGGTGGTTAAACTATTCGTAACTACCGCGCGATACGTCTCGGCCAGCGCATCTACCCGTGTACAATATAATATTGTTGTAACGTTGTAGCCGAGCGGGTTATTTACGATTTCGCGTTTGTCGGACAATAAATCGACAGGACGATCGTCGATTATGATAATAATAATTGTGCCCGTACAATTCAACAGCGGCGTTCCCGTCGCAAGGTATATCGATATGAATTCTGTGGCGTATTATAATATGTGCCACGACGCATTAAAGCGTTTTTCAGCTATTGTTGTATACTCATTTGCGGTATATTTGTTCATCAGCCGTACACGCTCGGGATTTTGTGAACTTTTCACGAAATGGAAACCGCGTCTACATTTTACACTGATTGGTAGAATTGAATGTGAAAAAAAAAAATTTATCGAGGCGACACATTGTCCCGCGACGGATGCTCGAATTTGACATCTCGCCCGCCTATGACACAGACATACAGACCTATTAATCTCATGTAACGTCATTTATTATTGTTGTAATTCATTTGCTGATATTTTTTCTTGCAACTGACAAGAGCTGATTTGGAAATCCTACATGTTAATTAATTGTACACGAAAACTAGTATTATTGCAATTATTTTTGCAAAACGATCACAACTGCAAATGATAGAACGAATCTGCCGAATTGGTTTCTGAGAAGTACCTATATACTTTATCGACTAATTTACGTAATTGATTGATTTGTATTAAATTTGTACAGATTTTAATAAAAAGATTGTATGTAAAAAATACAAATTAATACTAATTCATTGGTGATAATGGACCCCTTACTCCTTTCCTCTCCTATCCACCATTGGTAAAATATCAAATATCCACCCTTTACTAGTTGTTTAGACAGCTATGAACGATTAATAGGTAAGTGTATAGTTGTTGCTGTTGCTATACTTGCTACTCTAGGTGCTATCACATGCAAAATGCAAGTATAGAAACTAAAACACACAAAAATATAATTGCTATAATTTCGAATTATGAAAATCAATTCTAATAGATTGAACTCATTAAAGTCGTTACCAAGTTCTATGTACATATATAGGTATAATAGGTATGTACTATGTGCGGGTTGTAGGTCTGATAACTTTAACACAAAATTGACCGAAGCCAGCCCGAGTGTTTGAATTTTATAATAAAAATATGAATTTATGGTTCACATATTATTGTAATATGGTATTTGTCAGAGCTCGATAAACAACGAATACCTACTGTTGGGCACGGGGTCCCCGGACAGTATGCGTATACGCCTATTATACTGCAATATGATTAAATCATAAAACGTGAAAGAGCCATTATAGATGTTATTATATATATATATATAAAACAACAAAAATCTTAGAAAAATATTCAATTCACGTTTGCGTCGAAATGATAACGTGTCAAACAAATTATTGCCAACGTTAGTTGACGATGATAACGATTATTCGGACGTTCGGCGCGCACAGATAAATATTGAATTTTATCGGGAGATTTAAGCTACACACACAGAAAAAAAAAAATAAAAAAATAAACGTCAATGCACGTCGGTGTACCTACGACCGTGTATCTACGCACCGACTCCATCGTATATTACGACGACCACTGTGTGCACACGACAACGTTACGGTTCGAAACATCTTTGTTTTACCCATATATACCTAGTGCACACGCATAGGACTCACGTGTGCGCACGCGGTCGACGTTTATCGCTCGTACGAATGTCCGACATTGTGGGCACCATTATAGACGGTGATATAATATGGCTGCAGGCATCGACCGCCGCCGGACAGACGAATTTTTGATGAGGGGAAAAAAATCCTAATAACGATATTATATACGACGACGACGGCGCGAGGGGCACGTCGCAACCCACGAGCGGGGTGGGCGAGGGAGGGGGGGGCGACGACGTCCCGTAGTCACGAGAAGTATAATATAACGTGATATCTAGTATATTGTATACACAACATATTATTATATACTATAAATATCTATACGAATAAAATCCAAAACTATACATATTATGTGTGTGTGTGTGTGTGTGTGTGCGTGCGTGTGTTTCGCTGGGACATATCATATCATTTCCTCGCCGAGTATTAATTATTTACACGGGCGATACGTTATGATATTCACGGGCGGCGCTACATATTTTGATCGGACGCGGGATAACGCTCGTGTCAAATAAAAACCGAAACAAATTGCCTCGGAGTCCGCGCGCGCGAGCGTTTATTCAAATATAATATATTATAGGTAATAATAGCCATATAATACAGAGATGGACGGTATTATATTATATTGTCCACGGGAACGACCTACCGTTGTATTATGTTTTTCCGCTCGGACACCGTCGTATTATTATTATTATTATTATTATTATTATTATTATTATTATAATATTGTGCGATGCGCATACGAGGTTGTATATACGTAGTCACGTTAATAAGTATATTAACATTCTGTTTAGTGACTCCGAAATGTAAAACAAACGGAAAAAAAATAAACACAACGCAAGACCATTACATTGGACCCCCGCGGATTCTGTGTATAAAACAATATTAACACGTCACATTATATCGCGGCTGGTTACCTATATGTACCTATTACCTATACCTATATACCGCGTAGTTGTATATTGTGCGGTCGCCACAGTTGAAAAACAAATCGATTTGTGTTTGTTTTTTTTTTTTTATCTCTCTCCCTCACTCGTTTTTAAAAACGTATTTACAAGTCCTCGAGCCAGACGTGAATATTTTTGCAGGTTTACAGAGTTACGAGTTAGAGTTCAGACATTCTTAAACTTTATGGGCATATTCCGGATTCTACGTTTTTTGGCTTCTGACATTACGATCAACGTAAAGGTACACACAATACATACAACGAGGTAAATTTCAAAAGCGATAAATTAATAATAGATTATTCGATATGATTAATACTAGAACATTTATAAATGAGGCTCATCACTTGCCAAAAGTGACCATTGTAGTATACTACTGGTAATACCTACCTAACTAAACAGCTCTTCATAATATGGGTCATCTTTTACGACTTTTAGATACTTTGTAATTAAACAAACTAAGTAGTAGGGTTTCTGTGATCGGGTTATTCTCAGGATTTGAAACCCTAAAGGTAAGTGAACATCAACAATCTATCCAGAAACCAAACCATTTAACCATTTAATAATAGTCTGGCTCTTCCAACGGGTTAATTTCAGATATATAGCAAACCTTTTTACTGAATATTTGATGTTATTAATGTATATTTAATGACGAACCAAAATTTTAGTTGGTAATTATAACTTAAAATAGTAGTCATAAATAATAGGTAATACATACTAACTAACTAATATGATGAAACTTTGCAAATTAAAAATAAAAACATTCATTCTAAGTTTAAATCTTTTGCAGTAGGTATAACCGTGTCATAAGGTCTCGATTAATCGATTGAAAATGTATTTTCTATTTTGAAAATTATAAAACGTGTAATCTAATGTAAATTCCTGTTGGATAGAACCTTGATATATAACTAGTTGCTCCGCACTGATGGTGGTGGATACCACAGCGAGTCACAAAAATCGGATAAATGTAATTTAATGGAAAAATAAAAATACTATTAAAAAAAAAAACGCAGTGAAAAAAATCACGTT